GAAGCGACAGCTTCTGAACTTTACCCAGATTTTACCTACATCCGCTGATTCATCTGAATATTATGCACAGTGATTCCACTGAAAAATGACTCCGTGAATAGCACTTCGAAACAGGAATGTCAACGTCACACTTGATAGATTCTCATAACTGAGGCAGAGGTGGAAATCCGATAAAACTAATTCAATTTGAATTTTGATGATAATGTGAAGAGTGAAAATCATAATTTGTGACGATTGAGCTTCATATCCATTTGAATGAATATTTCAGTGTATGATGTAGTTATGTTTGTTTCCTCAGTAGGGTTCCCAATCACAGATGATCTGTGAATGCTCCTCACTGAAAAGAGCGTTTATTTCTCTGAACTGCTTATTAGTTGAACCCACTAATCGCACGCATTTTACATTTCGAGCAATAAAATCGTGTCGATTAGTAGACTGTCGTTGGTGAAAATCCAGACGAGTGACACTAAACGTCCTTCATGTCAATTCAAAATACGGACCTATTGCTATAATGTGAAGCCACATTATTTATTGAAAAAATTTCAGCTTGACTCTACTGTCTATTGATCTGATGTTTCCGAGTACAACATTTACTGTGACAAAGTTTCTTGATTAGCGTAGTGTTTTTCTGTAATATTGACAAATTCCACTAAAAACCTTGAACTTGCATCTGTGGCGTGTGTGATTTTGATTGTGTAAGGAGTGGTGAAAGTGCGATAGCATTTATTTAAAACTTGTGATTGACAAATGGAATTTGATATTTTTTATTTTTCAAGCTCCTAATTTAATATGCACTTATTAGTTAACGCGAGGTTTCCTTCAGAATTTTCATCTGCGAAATCGTCTTCCCCACTCAACCGAGAATGAAATATTCATTCGGTTTACTTGCAAGCACTTCATTTTCACAATGGTTGTTCAGATTATTTCGGTGTATGTAGAGACACTGAATTTTGTTCGAAAATTGAAACAAACATTGTTTTTCATAGTTGAATGGAATTTCGGTTGGATCTTCCCAAACAGTCGGTCGAAGTCAGGCTGCACAATGGACGGAAATCAACACTTGATTGATGAGTGACCGTTCGCTGACTGAATGCGAACCCATCGCATTCACATTGCCAGACAGTGGTTACAGTTCACTGCATGTGTTTGTGTGTTTCGCTCTTAGCTATTCATTTTGCGTGCATTTTTGTGTGAACGTGTTGTGATTCAGTCAGAGTTATTGAAAACACGTGATTACCTCTGGTTGAATATGGGTTTAGCAAGAGTTTCTGCTGTGCTGCAGCACACCTATATCAGGCTAATTACCTTGTCAGACCGATCGCGAAACTACTATTCTAACAGTTCGTCATTTCAAACGATTTGTCATTTCAAGTGTCTGAAGGTTGAAGCGACAGCTTCTGAACTTTACCCAGATTTTACCTACATCCGCTGATTCATCTGAATATTATGCACAGTGATTCCACTGAAAAATGACTCCGTGAATAGCACTTCGAAACAGGAATGTCAACGTCACACTTGATAGATTCTCATAACTGAGGCAGAGGTGGAAATCCGATAAAACTAATTCAATTTGAATTTTGATGATAATGTGAAGAGTGAAAATCATAATTTGTGACGATTGAGCTTCATATCCATTTGAATGAATATTTCAGTGTATGATGTAGTTATGTTTGTTTCCTCAGTAGGGTTCCCAATCACAGATGATCTGTGAATGCTCCTCACTGAAAAGAGCGTTTATTTCTCTGAACTGCTTATTAGTTGAACCCACTAATCGCACGCATTTTACATTTCGAGCAATAAAATCGTGTCGATTAGTAGACTGTCGTTGGTGAAAATCCAGACGAGTGACACTAAACGTCCTTCATGTCAATTCAAAATACGGACCTATTGCTATAATGTGAAGCCACATTATTTATTGAAAAAATTTCAGCTTGACTCTACTGTCTATTGATCTGATGTTTCCGAGTACAACATTTACTGTGACAAAGTTTCTTGATTAGCGTAGTGTTTTTCTGTAATATTGACAAATTCCACTAAAAACCTTGAACTTGCATCTGTGGCGTGTGTGATTTTGATTGTGTAAGGAGTGGTGAAAGTGCGATAGCATTTATTTAAAACTTGTGATTGACAAATGGAATTTGATATTTTTTATTTTTCAAGCTCCTAATTTAATATGCACTTATTAGTTAACGCGAGGTTTCCTTCAGAATTTTCATCTGCGAAATCGTCTTCCCCACTCAACCGAGAATGAAATATTCATTCGGTTTACTTGCAAGCACTTCATTTTCACAATGGTTGTTCAGATTATTTCGGTGTATGTAGAGACACTGAATTTTGTTCGAAAATTGAAACAAACATTGTTTTTCATAGTTGAATGGAATTTCGGTTGGATCTTCCCAAACAGTCGGTCGAAGTCAGGCTGCACAATGGACGGAAATCAACACTTGATTGATGAGTGACCGTTCGCTGACTGAATGCGAACCCATCGCATTCACATTGCCAGACAGTGGTTACAGTTCACTGCATGTGTTTGTGTGTTTCGCTCTTAGCTATTCATTTTGCGTGCATTTTTGTGTGAACGTGTTGTGATTCAGTCAGAGTTATTGAAAACACGTGATTACCTCTGGTTGAATATGGGTTTAGCAAGAGTTTCTGCTGTGCTGCAGCACACCTTTATCAGGCTAATTACCTTGTCAGACCGATCGCGAAACTACTATTCTAACAGTTCGTCATTTCAAACGATTTGTCATTTCAAGTGTCTGAAGGTTGAAGCGACAGCTTCTGAACTTTACCCAGATTTTACCTACATCCGCGGATTCATCTGAATATTATGCACAGTGATTCCACTGAAAAATGACTCCGTGAATAGCACTTCGAAACAGGAATGTCAACGTCACACTTGATAGATTCTCATAACTGAGGCAGAGGTGGAAATCCGATAAAACTAATTCAATTCGAATTTTGATGATAATGTGAAGAGTGAAAATCATAATTTGTGACGATTGAGCTTCATATCCATTTGAATGAATATTTCAGTGTATGATGTAGTTATGTTTGTTTCCTCAGTAGGGTTCCCAATCACAGATGATCTGTGAATGCTCCTCACTGAAAAGAGCGTTTATTTCTCTGAACTGCTTATTAGTTGAACCCACTAATCGCACGCATTTTACATTTCGAGCAATAAAATTGTGTCGATCAGTAGACTGTCGTTGGTGAAAATCCAGACGAGTGACACTAAACGTCCTTCATGTCAATTCAAAATACGGACCTATTGCTATAATGTGAAGCCACATTATTTATTGAAAAAATTTCAGCTTGACTCTACTGTCTATTGATCTGATGTTTCCGAGTACAACATTTACTGTGACAAAGTTTCTTGATTAGCGTAGTGTTTTTCTGTAATATTGACAAATTCCACTAAAAACCTTGAACTTGCATCTGTGGCGTGTGTGATTTTGATTGTGTAAGGAGTGGTGAAAGTGCGATAGCATTTATTTAAAACTTGTGATTGACAAATGGAATTTGATATTTTTTATTTTTCAAGCTCCTAATTTAATATGCACTTATTAGTTGACTCGAGGATTCCTTCAGAATTTTCATCTGCAAATTCGTCCTTCCCCTGAACTGATAATAATATATTTTCATCCTTGTGCATGCACGCCTTTTATTTTTCCGTTGTTTTCTGTCTTGTTTCTGTATTGTCTTAATGTATCTTTTCCTGCGTTTATTGATTTCGGCTGAATTTTTATAAATTCTTATGTGTCAAGTTTATCGTCGACTCTTTTTCTTTTCTCTGATTTTTATTTTTAGATTTTTAATTTTTCTGTCATATATTTTATTCTGTTTTTTTATTATTTCATTTCTCCATATATTTTGAGAACAATTTACATCATTTAATATGACTTCTCCTCTGATGTGCCTTCGCTCTTATACTATTTCCATAGATTTTTCTTCCCTATTTTGTTTGTATTGATTTTTAATCAAGAGAAGCTAAATACTAGATTTATTATCAGCCATTTTGCTCAATAATATTGTTCTATTTACCATATAATCATCATTCACATGCACGCTAACATCTCTGTAATCAGTCATGTTTTCCGGCTGAATTATGTTTCATAATCAACAAGGCTATATTTGAGATAAGATAAAGTTTATTAGCACAGTTTCACATTATTTTATTTTCATGAAAACTGTTTTATTATTAACTTAACTAATCATACCTGCTGTGAGACAAATGACAGTTTTACTTATGAAAAAGTTGTATGTTTGCATGCGTATTATATCATTTGAAAATGAATATTTACGTTCGATGTTTTGAAAGGTTTCTGCATATACTTCAGAGATGCAATACAATCTTATGGTAGTTGGAAAACTGAGCTTGAGATTTTTATTCATTTCAATGGAATATAAACTATGATATTATTCAATATAACAAGACATTAGAAACTGAACTTATACTAACATGCTGATCACTATAAATGCTCCAAAATAACCGACGTTTCTGTTCTAAATTTGACTAATTATTGGTATGCGAAGATTACGCAGCTCAGTTCCCTCTATAGTTACTTCTGTAAATAAGGTAATCGGAACAGAATGCGTGACATGATCAGTGTTTTGAAGATATGAATAGCTATCAAATTACATTTGTTTTCGAAAAATCATATTGGAGCTGAAGTATACACATTATGTCTGGTACACTCCAACGTTTTCAAACAATTGGCTACTTCCATCTAGTTCCACCCACCTAACTAATTACGCTACCTATTTGGCTACTGCAAAAACTTTCACCCCTCAATCTAACGTGAGAATAACACCCACATTTCTACTTGTCCATTGGTTGCTAATCAGATAAGTTAATTCTACTCTCCAGTCCATTGGTCCCCCTAATTACAGAGTGACAGGCATAATCAAGGTCAATTTTTTAGATATTATATATAAGCACTAAACAGAATGGCTTTTTGGTATAACAACTAAGTGGTAACTCACTTACTTTAATGAAGATGAGCAACTCTTGGTTATTGGTAACTGTAACAGCACTGTTGGCTGTCTTCGTACAATCTGATGAAATATGTGAGTGAGATATTTCTTATGATGCTTTATTTTTTGTTATTTGATATTAATATGAATTTTCTCGATTATGTTCTCACTTTCATACTCACACTCACATGCTGAAATGAAATATGCATTTTCTACAGGATCCCGCCTCAAGTGTCACTTTCTACTTTCATTTTTAACTGTCATTTAAGAAAATGATAGTTCTCAGTTCACTTTCTCATAACCGATTCTTACTGAATGTTATCAATAAATAATCGTATTATTTATTAAAATTATTCGTAAGACAGGAAAAATTGGTAAAACATAAATTTTGGTGCTTAAAAAGCTAACTCTATAGACTAATTTTTGGATGATTTTTTTTATTTTAAAGCATTTATATTCGATGAGGAGAGTAAGTGAATAAATTTGATATGCTATTGAATTATACTTTTATTTCATAACACATAATAATATTGTTAATCCAATGTGGGGAGAAATTAGTTTTCTGATTTTAATTTGTTTTTTTTTAGTACGAAACCAACTTTACTATCCACAATGCTATCATACAGGTGAGATTATTGTTTATTCAAAGTAAATGAGTTATATTTGTGAGTGTGTTTTATTTTAAAAATAACGACACTTGAGTGATAACCACGTAGATAATAAAAAGCATTCTTATAGTGTGAACAAACTTCAGGAAAATCAGCAAAATACTCAAGATTACGTAACTGGAAATTACTAGTAAAAAAAAGAATTTACTGGATGAAACAAATAATTTTATATAGAGAATGTTGATAAACTAATGAGATTGCGTTACATTAAAAAAAAAAAGTGTATAAAAAAGATGAATTACTTAACTGACAAATCTGTTTGCGTACAAACATAAATTCATTGTTGTAAAAATAAATTCCTTCAAACTCTTTCGAATTACATCAGCTGATATCCAATTGGCTGAAGAAACAAAAGAACAACAGAAAGTTAATAGTAACGAAGAACAACAAGATAAATCAAAAGATATACCGAGTGGACCTCGTAAGTGAATATATTGTGATTATCATTTGATGTCATTCTTCGTTCGACAATATACTAATTTACGAATAAACAACAGGATGGAAGTGATCGTGTGTGTCACTCGGAAAGAGATTTGCGATTCTATTTCATCCATCTTATCTAGATCAAACAATGAAAATCAAAGGCAACTTTCACCAACCTCCTTCCATAAACAACTGGACATTTTACACATATCAGGTGTCGGACTATCTCTTTCATTGACACCTGTGATTTATACTAGCGACGACCGAAAATGAATAGAGATACTACTTAGAAGTGTCAACATTTCTTCGTCACGTAATCATCATGTGTTCATGTTCTTGATAAATGTCAACCTCATTGTCTTTAAAAAATTAATAATTTATTATTCACCATTCCAGATCAAGTTGTGGAAGAAAACGCTGGGACACCGAAACCTGAAGCTCGTGAGTGCAATTACATTTATATTGGGCTATTTTTATTGATATCGTTTTGTGGATAACGTGAGTACAGATCAAACTTGTGAATACAACTAATTGATTTTCTATATATTATTTCGCAATTATTTAGCTGTAGTCCCTGTCGCTGACCAAACAGGTGATAAAAAGACAGCAGCGGAAACGAACATTCAGCCAGTAGATTCAATTGATGCATCAAGTGGACCTCGTAAGTGTGTTTTGAATTTCAACTGTTTCAATTGTATGAATTTCATCTACTCATGATTTGCAGAATCTGTCAATGATGTTAATGGAAGTCTAAAACAGGATGATAAGTGACGCAACTGACAGATTTTATCGTTGAAGTTCATTCATGGGATTTATGTGCATCCAAAAATTAGACGTCCAAATGTTGGACTTGTGAATGCAGCAAGTAATTGAACTTTGATCCTTTTGACAAACTAACGCTGTGGAGACTATTATATACCCGACGATTTTGTATTAACTCATTAAAACCTTGCCCATTTAACGGAAGGCAAAACTAATTATGCTTACAATAAGTTGTCATCCAAATACTGATTCACTGATAACGATTTCACCAGGTTATGATGTTAGCACATTCTCACCAACATAGACATGATACCGGATTAGATAGTATTTGTGAACCGGGGTTCGAATGTTTGTTTCATTTATTCAAATTTGATGAAAGGTACGCAGCATTTACTAAGTAAAGCTGACTCATATCATAATAAATTCAGGCGAAAATAGTAATGTGAGCAAACAAATAATAAGTGGTTCGATGTTATGATATCAGATCGAACACATCACATCTTGTTTCACAAAAGCAGCATCTTTATTTAGTATATCTAATTATCTTGAGAATTCTGATTTCGCAAAGAAATAGAGTGAGTAGAAAACAAATCAATATTTAAACACCGTTTTCTATTAATTTACGTATAAAATAAGGTACAAATGAAGGGAGACAAGGAGAAACTAAATCGGAAGGTGAGTGAAAGCGAAAGAATAAATCTGGTAAAACACAAAAATAATGGAAGCAAAACACGTTAAATGCCTGCGTTGTCCAAAAAATAGATATTGGAGTGTGATACACAGTATCTACATTCAAAAGTTAGCATGCAAGTGCGAGGATGTTCATTGTTCAGTAATCTGAACATCAACTAAACGAACACTCAATGCTTCCCACTATTCACTGTTGGTTTAACTGTGTTCTAGTCGTGATTTCCTAGAATCCCGCATATGCACTTACATTCTACACAATCCGTAGGCCACATTTTCACCAATCACTGAGTCTCACACAAATATTCAATTGTCAACGCAACTTTGTCGACGATTTCAAAATAGGTAGACATATCATTACGTAGTTCACTTGTCACGTACATTTAGTTCAATCGAAAAACGCAGTTCAATGCACGGACAGGGATGCTGGTTTACAGTTTGCAACGTCATATACCATATTGTCGCATTTTATACGGTATCCATATTCCTCATAATTGAATGAACACTATCGAGAGAATAAATTGATTTCTTTGAACGTTTCTTTCACTTTCAAATCTCTCAAGATAAAGCTGGCCAAACTCCTGACTCCAAGATAAACAAAGGTGAGTGTTTTGTCATTATTTTCATTGCATGACGGAAAGAGTCGAAAGCAGTGACAAAAACATTGCGCATCGAATCTGGTCTCTATACGTTTGATAGTCGCAAATGACACCGAGTAAACACATCACATACTAGCATACATATAAGCTGAAGTTCACTGATCAGAAATCCAAACAGCAACTCAACAAATACTCAATTCTGCCTAGTATTCAATCTTGGTTTAGCTTTCTTCTAGTCGCGATTGCCTAGAATCCAGCATATACACTTCCATTCTACACAATCCGTAGGCCACAATTTTAACAACCTCAGAGTCTCATACAAATATTCTATTGTCAACGCAACGTTGTCAACGATTTCAAAATTAGTAGACATATAATAATCGAATTCACTTGTCACATGCATCTCGTTCAATGGAAGAACACAGTTCATTTCAATCACAAGGATGCTTTTTCACCCTATGCAGCTTCATTTACCTCATTGTAGCATTTTTTACAGTATCTAGATATCTCAAAATTTAGTAATTACTATCGAGCGAATCAATTCATAATTTTTAACATTTCTCTTTGCTATATCATTTTTAAAGTTAAACTTCATGCGGTTCTGTACATGCATTTTTGAGTTTCTTCCTTGTACTCATCTGTACTTTTTGTACTATGATCATTTATTAGTTCTTGAAATACTTTAAATATTTTTCATTAGTAGCTGTGGGTTCTATACACAAGTGTTTTTCCGGTTAATTTTGTTCTTCATCAGTTTGTTTGTAATCTTTTTTCTCAGAAAAACTTTTCGTTGGGTCTTTTGTGCTTAGACGTATTCAGCATCATTATTTGCATAAATTCTGAAGCATGCAAATACCAACAATGATTCACTCGGATTTAATATTTCTAATTTATTGGTTTCCCGGTGTCACATTCAGTCGCACGTGATATTACCTGATTTGCATTTTTCAAAATTGTTCGCTTCGTCATTTCACATTAACCTTTCTATGTAATAAATTTTCAATCATTTTATTACAAGCTTCTAAACACGTAAATCACACTTAATGATAAGCAAACAAGGATGACTTTCTTTAGTTCACTGGAGACAGTTTCAACACCAAATGCACAAGAAGAATCTCTTACTGAATGAAGCGTGGAAACATTTTACTGGCAGTGACACTACTCTGATTGGTGTTCAGCTTACACTCTTGTTTCATTAGGTTTATTATTATTTATATGGAATCACTGTGTTAAAATGAGTCATTATTTATAGACTGCCGTTGATTTATCAATAGACATGTTGCATTATTACTTCTGATTGACAACTGTTTGTTCGCCAATATACTAATTTACGAATAAACAACAGGATGGAAGTGATCGTGTGTGTCACTCGGAAAGAGATTTGCGATTCTATTTCATCCATCTTATCTAGATCAAACAATGAAAATCAAAGGCAACTTTCACCAACCTCCTTCCATAAACAACTGGACATTTTACACATATCAGGTGTCGGACTATCTCTTTCATTGACACCTGTGATTTATACTAGCGACGACCGAAAATGAATAGAGATACTACTTAGAAGTGTCAACATTTCTTCGTCACGTAATCATCATGTGTTCATGTTCTTGATAAATGTCAACCTCATTGTCTTTAAAAAATTAATAATTTATTATTCACCATTCCAGATCAAGTTGTGGAAGAAAACGCTGGGACACCGAAACCTGAAGCTCGTGAGTGCAATTACATTTATATTGGGCTATTTTTATTGATATCGTTTTGTGGATAACGTGAGTACAGATCAAACTTGTGAATACAACTAATTGATTTTCTATATATTATTTCGCAATTATTTAGCTGTAGTCCCTGTCGCTGACCAAACAGGTGATAAAAAGACAGCAGCGGAAACGAACATTCAGCCAGTAGATTCAATTGATGCATCAAGTGGACCTCGTAAGTGTGTTTTGAATTTCAACTGTTTCAATTGTATGAATTTCATCTACTCATGATTTGCAGAATCTGTCAATGATGTTAATGGAAGTCTAAAACAGGATGATAAGTGACGCAACTGACAGATTTTATCGTTGAAGTTCATTCATGGGATTTATGTGCATCCAAAAATTAGACGTCCAAATGTTGGACTTGTGAATGCAGCAAGTAATTGAACTTTGATCCTTTTGACAAACTAACGCTGTGGAGACTATTATATACCCGACGATTTTGTATTAACTCATTAAAACCTTGCCCATTTAACGGAAGGCAAAACTAATTATGCTTACAATAAGTTGTCATCCAAATACTGATTCACTGATAACGATTTCACCAGGTTATGATGTTAGCACATTCTCACCAACATAGACATGATACCGGATTAGATAGTATTTGTGAACCGGGGTTCGAATGTTTGTTTCATTTATTCAAATTTGATGAAAGGTACGCAGCATTTACTAAGTAAAGCTGACTCATATCATAATAAATTCAGGCGAAAATAGTAATGTGAGCAAACAAATAATAAGTGGTTCGATGTTATGATATCAGATCGAACACATCACATCTTGTTTCACAAAAGCAGCATCTTTATTTAGTATATCTAATTATCTTGAGAATTCTGATTTCGCAAAGAAATAGAGTGAGTAGAAAACAAATCAATATTTAAACACCGTTTTCTATTAATTTACGTATAAAATAAGGTACAAATGAAGGGAGACAAGGAGAAACTAAATCGGAAGGTGAGTGAAAGCGAAAGAATAAATCTGGTAAAACACAAAAATAATGGAAGCAAAACACGTTAAATGCCTGCGTTGTCCAAAAAATAGATATTGGAGTGTGATACACAGTATCTACATTCAAAAGTTAGCATGCAAGTGCGAGGATGTTCATTGTTCAGTAATCTGAACATCAACTAAACGAACACTCAATGCTTCCCACTATTCACTGTTGGTTTAACTGTGTTCTAGTCGTGATTTCCTAGAATCCCGCATATGCACTTACATTCTACACAATCCGTAGGCCACATTTTTACCAATCACTGAGTCTCACACAAATATTCAATTGTCAACGCAACTTTGTCGACGATTTCAAAATAGGTAGACATATCATTACGTAGTTCACTTGTCACGTACACTTAGTTCAATCGAAAAACGCAGTTCAATGCACGGACAGGGATGCTTGTTTACCATATGGAGCGTCATAGACCTTATGATCGCAATTTACACTGTAGTCATTATCCTCAAATATGAATGAACACTTTCGAGAGAATAAATTCATTATTTTGAAATTTTCTTTTCGATATCTCATTATTTATGTAAAGTTCGAAGGGAAGCTGGTGCGAAGAATCCCACGCGTAAGTTAAATAAAAACATATTTATTGCGTGGTAGATGTAAATGGAGGCAGCAACAAAATACAGCGTTTTGACATTTACTTCCAAACTGTAGAGATTGGTTAATGACACCTAGATTAGATATTGCCTAATAGCAAACAAATATTCTGAATTTAGTGATCAGGTACATTATCATCAAATAAACGAAGACTCAATCCTTCCTAGTATTCAATGTTAATTTAACTGTGCTGTAGTCAATTTTCCTAGAATCCCGCATATACACTTCCATTCTACACAATCCGAAGCCACATTTTTACCAACCTCAGAGTCTCATACAAATGTTCTATTGTCAACGCAACGTTGTCGACGATTTCAAAATAAGTAGACGTATAATAATCGAATTCACTTGTCACATGCATCTCGTTCAATGGAAGAACACAGTTCATTTCTGGAACAAGGATTCTCGTTCATTCTTTGCAGCGTCATATACATTATTGGCGCATTTTATATGGTAGCCATATTCCTCGTAAATCAATAAAAGTGATAGACTGAATCAATTAATTAGTTCGAAATTTTCTTCTCGATATTTCATCATCAATTTGAAAGGTCAAGGAGGAAATGCTGGGAAGAAACCTAAAGGTGAGTTATACAAAATATACGTATTGCGTTTTAGAAGGAGAAGAACCGAATAAATTCATAATACGTACCGATAGTTCTCTTGGAATTTATATATGCCTGTAAGACTCCTAGTTTACACATTGCGATGCCAGCATACAGGTGGTGCACTGATATTCACCGATCAGGAATCTAAACATCAACTAAACGAACACTCAATGCTTCCTAGCATTCAATGTCAGTTTAACTGTATTCTAGTCGCGATCTGATAGAATCCAGCATATACACTTCTATTCTACACAATCGGTACGCCACATTTTTACCAATCAGTGAGTCTCACACAAATATTCTATTGTCAACGCAACGTTGTCGACGATTTCAAAATAGGTAGACATATCATAACGTAGTTCACTTGTCACGTACATTTAGTTCAATCGAAAAACACAGTTCAATGCACGGACAGGGATGCTGGTTTACACTTTGCAACTTCATATACCATATTCTAGCATTTTTTACGGTAGCCATATTCCCCGTAAATCAATAAACGTTATAGACTAAATCAATTTATTTGTTCGAAATTTTCTTCTCGATATTTCATCATCAATTTTAAAGGTCAAGGAGGAAACGCTGGGAAGAAACCTGAAGGTGAGTTATACAAAATATAAGTATTCCGTTTTAGAAGGAGAAGATGGGAGCAAAATAATACTGCGTACCGACACTTGTTTTCAAATGTATATATTCGTGTATGACTCCTAGTATACACATAGCAAAGCCAGCATACAGGTGCGCTGATATTCACCGATCAGGAATCTAAACATCAACTAAACGAACACTCAATGCTTCCTAACATTCAATGTCAGTTTAACTGTATTCTAGTCGCGATCTCCTAGAATCCAGCATATACACTTCTATTCTACACAATCGGTACGCCACATTTTCACCAATCACTGAGTCTCACACACATATTCTATTGTCAACGCAACGTTGTCAACGATTTCAAAATAAGTAGACGTATAATAATCGAATTCACTTGTCACATGCATCTCGTTCAATGGAAGAACACAGTTCATTTCTGAAACAAGGATTCTCGTTCATTCTTTGTAGCGTCATTTACCTTATTTTCGCCTTTTATACGGTAGACATTTTACTCATAACTGAATAAACTGTATCGACTGAATCAATAAATTAGTTCGAAATTTTCTTCTCGATATTTCATCATTTATTCTCAAGGTCAAAGACAAAATCGTGGGAGAAATAACGGAGGTGAGTTATTCAAAATACAAGTTTTGTGTTTCAGAAGGAGAAGATGGGAGCAAAATAATACTGCGTACCGACACTTGTTTTCAAATGTATATATTCGTGTATGACTCCTAGTATACACATAGCAAAGCCAGCATACAGGTGCGCTGATATTCACCGATCAGGAATCTAAACATCAACTAAACGAACACTCAATGCTTCCTAACATTCAATGTCAGTTTAACTGTATTCTAGTCGCGATCTCCTAGAATCCAGCATATACACTTCTATTCTACACAATCGGTACGCCACATTTTCACCAATCTCAGAGTCTCACACACATATTCTATTGTCAACGCAACGTTGTCAACGATTTCAAAATAAGTAGACGTATAATAATCGAATTCACTTGTCACATGCATCTCGTTCAATGGAAGAACACAGTTCATTTCTGAAACAAGGATTCTCGTTCATTCTTTGTAGCGTCATTTACCTTATTTTCGCCTTTTATACGGTAGACATTTTACTCATAACTGAATAAACTGTATCGACTGAATCAATAAATTAGTTCGAAATTTTCTTCTCGATATTTCATCATTTATTCTAAAGGTCAAAGACGAAATGGTGGGAGAAATAACGGAGGTGAGTTATTCAAAATACAAGTTTTGTGTTTCAGAAGGAGAAGATGGGAGCAAAATAATACTGCGTACCGACACTTGTTTTCAAATGTATATATTCGTGTATGACTCCTAGTATACACATAGCAAAGCCAGCATACAGGTGCGCTGATATTCACCGATCAGGAATCTAAACATCAACTAAACGAACACTCAATGCTTCCTAACATTCAATGTCAGTTTAACTGTATTCTAGTCGCGATCTCCTAGAATCCAGCATATACACTTCTATTCTACACAATCGGTACGCCACATTTTCACCAATCTCAGAGTCTCACACACATATTCTATTGTCAACGCAACGTTGTCAACGATTTCAAAATAAGTAGACGTATAATAATCGAATTCACTTGTCACATGCATCTCGTTCAATGGAAGAACACAGTTCATTTCTGAAACAAGGATTCTCGTTCATTCTTTGTAGCGTCATTTACCTTATTTTCGCCTTTTATACGGTAGACATTTTACTCATAACTGAATAAACTGTATCGACTGAATCAATAAATTAGTTCGAAATTTTCTTCTCGATATTTCATCATTTATTCTCAAGGTCAAAGACAAAATCGTGGGAGAAATAACGGAGGTGAGTTATTCAAAATACAAGTTTTGTGTTTCAGAAGGAGAAGATGGGAGCAAAATAATACTGCGTACCGACACTTGTTTTCAAATGTATATATTCGTGTATGACTCCTAGTATACACATAGCAAAGCCAGCATACAGGTGCGCTGATATTCACCGATCAGGAATCTAAACATCAACTAAACGAACACTCAATGCTTCCTAGCATTCAATGTCAGTTTAACTGTATTCTAGTCGCGATCTCCTAGAATCCAGCATATACACTTCTATTCTACACAATCGGTACGCCACATTTTCACCAATCTCAGAGTCTCACACACATATTCTATTGTCAACGCAACGTTGTCAACGATTTCAAAATAAGTAGACGTATAATAATCGAATTCACTTGTCACATGCATCTCGTTCAATGGAAGAACACAGTTCATTTCTGAAACAAGGATTCTCGTTCATTCTTTGTAGCGTCATTTACCTTATTTTTCGCCTTTTATACGGTAGACATTTTACTCATAACTGAATAAACTGTATCGACTGAATCAATAAATTAGTTCGAAATTTTCTTCTCGATATTTCATCATTTATTCTCAAGGTCAAAGACAAAATCGTGGGAGAAATAACGGAGGTGAGTTATTCAAAATACAAGTTTTGTGTTTCAGAAGGAGAAGATGGGAGCAAAATAATACTGCGTACCGACACTTGTTTTCAAATGTATATATTCGTGTATGACTCCTAGTATACACATAGCAAAGCCAGCATACAGGTGCGCTGATATTCACCGATCAGGAATCTAAACATCAACTAAACGAACACTCAATGCTTCCTAGCATTCAATGTCAGTTTAACTGTATTCTAGTCGCGATCTCCTAGAATCCAGCATATACACTTCTATTCTACACAATCGGTACGCCACATTTTCACCAATCACTGAGTCTCACACACATATTCTATTGTCAACGCAACGTTGTCAACGATTTCAAAATAAGTAGACGTATAATAATCGAATTCACTTGTCACATGCATCTCGTTCAATGGAAGAACACAGTTCATTTCTGAAACAAGGATTCTCGTTCATTCTTTGTAGCGTCATTTACCTTATTTTCGCCTTTTATACGGTAGACATTTTACTCATAACTGAATAAACTGTATCGACTGAATCAATAAATTAGTTCGAAATTTTCTTCTCGATATTTCATCATTTATTCTAAAGGTCAAAGACGAAATGGTGGGAGAAATAACGGAGGTGAGTTATTCAAAATATAGCGTCATTTACCTTATTGTCGCATTTTTTACGGTATCCATATTCCTCATAAATGACTGAAGATTTTCCAGCGAATCAATTCTTTTTTTTTGAATGTTTCTTTTACGTCTTCATTCTTTCACTCTCTAGAAGGCCAATCTGCTGAGTCCAACAAAATCACTGTTGTGTTTTCATATTTATGATATCACTGTGTTTTATGAGTCATAATTTATTGATTTTCTTTGACATATAAATAGACATTTTGAAATAATACCTGTGATCGACAACTCTCACATCTCCCCCACAAATTTGACTTTCTTTATTTTAGTATCGCCCATCAACAACGGTGTCGAATCAAACAATGTGGTAGGTTAAATCACTCTTATTCAGCTGTTTTATTTATTTCTCTTATGCATATATCGTGTCAATGTCTCAACATTAAAATCAATTCTATCGAAGTTATTCCCACTGTTACAGCTCAACACTATGAGTTTTCGAAGGAGCGTTGAAGAAATATGTGCCTAAACGTTCCTGCTCTGATTCACGACAGGTCGCTTTCTTCCCTCGTTTTTTATATTTGTTTGTGTTTTCCAGGCCATTTTCATATTAAACCGGAAATTCTCTTCACATTTCTTCTCACAGAAATGCATTTAGTTCACCAGATATTCATGAATAACGAGTGATTGTATACTGTATGATCTACCTAAAACACCTAACTTTCAGGTATCTTAGCTAGATAACGGGCTCAAATTCTTGTAGAATCTCTGATAGTACACTTTACTCATTTAGGAGTTACAAAGGAGTGTTCACTTCTTCAATCGCATATTGTTCACAGTCTAATTCGAATGTCACTCTAATAAAATTGTTCACACGCATAATGTCATTAGATTTTACAAAGTTTACTATCCATTTTCAATTTAAATGTTATTCTTACAGGTGTCATAATGATCATATCAAAATAAACAATCGCGAATATTTGTAACCTTCTAAATATCTTTTGTGCACTTATATGTTTACATTGACTCGAATTGAGTATGATTTGTTCCGTTGTATTTTGTAGTAGTTTAGCGTATGCTACATATAACCTTTTCTTTGTTCATTACCATTTTTTAATCTAAAATACAATAGTCAGTTTCTTAACACTTACACAATGATTATTTTCATCAATAAAAGTTTTCGAATTTTTCTTATTCAAGTCGTTTCTGATTTATTGTGACGAAAAGTGCTCTTTAGGCAATGAAAATTTGACAGGGCATAATACTTTGTGAGAAAGAATTAGTTAATTTAGTGTAACCGCAATCACTCATATGCGAACATGATCAGACCCAAGCACATGAATACCATGTGAAAAACAGTATGCTGAAATTTAATCATTGAATACGAGTTTTTGTTTCTTCATCATGCTATGCGAGGAAAAATATGATTGCCGAAACCTGTACGTTCAAAACTACTAAAAAACAACCCGATGATCAAAGTCGTAAATAGAGTGATTCGGAAAATGTTACATCGCTGTGACTAAGAGATGAAGATGGTTTTGATACCGAGATTTCAGTATACCTCAGATTCAGGGAAATAGGTTTAAAATCGAAAGTAAATAAGCTATGATCAAGACTAAACTTCATGAATATTCTTGCAAATTGTAAGCTGAAGCAGAATACATCATCCCTGAATGAGTTTTTATGAACCAGCTTAACCGCTAAGGTCAATTCACAACCCACTGCCTCTTGGTCAGCATAAGGCGAAAATGCGAACGAAAACAGCTAGACCGCGCGTCCACAAAAAGATATAGGAAACCCATGCGTCCTACTGGTCAAAAGCCGCACTAAAACTCATATCATTATTCGTAAAGTCGACGGATAAGTTGATCAGCTGCCACCAGATATGCATAAGCAGGAATTCAACTACTCTTCAAGGAGATCAAGGGTGCGCCTTTTCACATAGGGTCAACACCAGGTGTTTGAACATGTACAAAGTCATTCAGACTAAACAAACCGTAGTTACACACAAGAATGGATAGATATCAGATTTTGTTTAGCATTTAGAAGGACCAGAACAAAACAGCTTAACTGGAAAAGCTATTCCGTGGTCACTGACTCTTGCTGATGCCTATACAGTATACACAAAACCAGATGAATGGATCGTCACAAAGATCAATTTCTTCAGAGGTGTATCCGCGATCATAGTTTAGAGTAGCTTAAGAAGTGTGAAACTTTCACCTGTTAGGATTATTTGCTAAAACATAAAAAATGCATTATTGTCAGTTATGCTCCAGTATAGATCATGATTATTACTGTTTCACTTACTACTATTTAGGTTTGTATAATCAACGCTATCTAAATTGAGACTGATAAGATCGATTTTTCAATGATCGAATCTACTTCAATCGGTCAACCGTATTTTACCTTCACTATTCACTGAACGTATATTAGTAGCCATTGTTTCTGTGGGTCACATGCATTATTCAGTACCTAGGGAATCGAATAAGGTTAATCGTAACATGGTTGAGTTCAGTGTCGACAGAAAAACTCTGAACATTCTCTGCATTTAGATTACTTGCTGCAACATTTACATCAATAGATGAAAGACCACTCTTCAATAGGAATTAATAAAGAAGAATTGCACACGTCAAGAAGGATTGAGCAACGATTATCCTCATTGTCAGCTACGCAATCAGTAACGTCGATCGCACTTGTCGTGAAGTCGTCCACGTATGTTTCACTATCCATTTACTGATACTACAAATTGATATCGTGTTCATCTTGATTCCTCAAAACCCAAAGCACTGGCTGTAGTCATTTTTCTGGCAAAACATCAAACATGTTGACTCAAAGCAAACCTAGTCCAAAACACTACGAATTAAATATCAGCTTTGCTTTTTTACATTTACGATAGAAATTATCTTCCCAGGGTGGACAAGGTGAGAACTTCAAGTCATCAGGATTTTACCTAGTTCAATGTTGGCTTCGGACAATAAAACTATAAAAGCCGGTGCAAAGTTTCGTTATCTAGATCTTGTGGGAGCAGATGTTCTTAAAAAGAAGGAAAAACGAACGGACAAGCAGTATTTACTTTCGGAAATTCTACAAAAATCCAGTAGTAATCCCTAGGTAGTATACAGTTGATACAAAGATTATTTGAAGTTAATGTTACATTAGCCTTTATATATTTCTGATTCTGACTATTCACGGATTATTTTTTTAGTTTTTCATAAACTGTTTTCTTTTTGTTTCACCTATGATTATTTCGCGTTTACACTTCAATAGCGCTCAGCCTGAAATGATGTGAACAGAGGAATAGATATTCAAAGTGGTCGTTACAAATATTTTTAGTTATGTTTTTCGAGTTCCATACGGAAAATAAGGAAAAGTGTCGCAGTCAAGAGAAGAACGGCAATAAGTAAAGCCAGGTAAAAAAAAGATGAGAACTAAATAATCTGTGATTCATAAAAGTAGCAAACTAGGATCCAGTTAGACAAAGGAATGAAGCATTATATTAAAAGTTATTATTTTCAATTTATTTGCATTCGGAAAAATGATAAATCATTTATGTATCCTATATAAAATCTGTCATCATAAAAATGGCTGTAAAAACCACTTTCAGCTAACTCTAAAGTTAATTAAAAAAAGAAATTTGATATTTTTCACTTTCATTGTCATCCTCTGCGGACCAATTGGTAGACGATTTTCTGGTTCCTGATTTATAAGAAATCATTCAGGGATGATTTATTCTGCTTCAGCTGTTCAAACCTCTGAAATATATCCGGAAATATATCTTAAACACCGACGTCGTTGTAAAGCTAGGCGTATTTTGAGAACAATTTTCAATTAATAACGTTTCACTGCCACATAATTGGTCTAATTTATTCAAAAACTACGGATCGGAACTGTGTTCTCAGACGGTTTGTATTTTACCCCTCTATTTACGCCATATCTGTTGGTTAATTGTACTAGGAAATTTAATTAGGTCTTCGGAATGTGACTTCTGCTTGCTCTCCTTACTAAATAAATATATGATTACAACCTCAATCAGAGAAGTCATTCGTTCGTGAAATAAAAATATATGACGAAAACAATGTTTATTTCCTCAAAAGACATTATAAGCAAAAGGGCCTCTTCCTACATCTGGCTGTAATTCGTTTTAGCTGGGCTTCGTTTACGAAATTCATGCATCACTGCTTATATTGACACGCCAGGCAACTTACATGAAATAACTGAACCTAGGATATATGCTTCAGCATCTGCTACTACGATGATTGAAATTGATGGATCGGAGTGCGTTAATAACAATTCACAGCTAATTATGGACCTCAGCTTACGAAACACCAAGTCAAACTCTTTCGTCTCATTCCAAGTGCTTTTCTTTTGCAGTCGAAAATTCATTGAACCACGAATCTCATGCATCGAGTAAACAAACGCTGAACAATAAGCGATTGTTCCGAGAAACGATCGTGATTCTGAAACATTGGTGGGAGTGTGCATCAGTTTGATAGCTCGAATGTTCTCAGGATCTGGTCTACAGCCGTCGGCATCCAAGACGAATCTCAAACACTTTACTGACTGCAATAGCATCTGGCATTTCTCTTGGCGTAACCGGAAACCGTAGTCACTGATGTGTTGTAGTTCGAATATCGTGCGTTCCCGTAGCTGTTCTAATGTCTTTGCAATAATTAAGATACATTCGAGGTAAGCTGTAACTGTGTTGGACCAAACGATATATTATTTCAAAATATTAACAAAGTTATTGAATACAAACAGATGTATAGCAAAATATATCAGTTAAATGTAATAAACACAATAAAAATGTAAGGACTTTACTTTATACGGCTGCTTGTACGTGTTCCATTGTGTTTGGTACTATAAATCCACAATTATAGAAATGTTAGTAATCCAAGTGGAGTAATTATCCGTAGAGTAGCATATACGTATGACTGCAGTCTATAAATGTAGACAGTGTACGTATTAGAATCAAGTTATCGCATTAATGAACAATTGAGAACATGAGACGTGCGCATAAAGTGTATTCGATAGGATCAGGCAGTGAGTGCCGTGCTATGAGTACACAGAACGGAAATGTGGAGCAGTTAAAGCGCCTGATATATTCAAGGACACACACGCAAACAAAATATACAACAATTTCAAAGTGAGTGTACAGGCTGTGAAAATTACCAGAATAAATACAAATAGTATCAAAAACTATTTACAAAATAAGTTTGTCATGCCATCTCCACATAACCCCTGAGATACCTGATAAGATGGCATCTATTAGTTGTCGGAAGATAGGCAGTGCGGTTTTGACTCCAAAGGGCAGACGTTTATACTGATACAAACCACGATGAGTATCGATAGTAAGTATCAGCGAGATCCAGTTTTGCGCAAACCTTTCTTCATCCAATGTATTGTGCAGATACGCGGGAACTAGCCGAGAATAATTAGACTATTCCAGAACTTCATTGAGACCTATTGAAAAGTCAGCTAATGAATGTATCGTGCATTTGGCTTACTTAATAATGACTATAGGTGCTGCAATGCAGAGTAAGAAACGTGCGTATTAACTCTCTATTGTTCAGTGCGATTCAGTTTTTCGTCTACAATGGGTAAAGTTGCAAAAGGCATGGGTCTTTTTGGACAGAAAACAGGTTTGGCCACTGCTTTCAAACGGAGTGTTGCTTTCATGGCAGAACAATGATCCGACCGAAGTTGTGAGAAATGTTGACGTGCAGAATTGTGCTGAATCACACTGACACAATTGTATACAAGATGGATGGAATATGTGAATCACAGTAGACTGACAGTGACAGTATGACAGGCTTTTTTGTGCCGAACAAATAAACACGTCAGAAAGACGTCTTCCAGTCTATGCAAACATGGTCACACATACTGTCACTCACTCAATCAATCCAACACTCACTCACTCACTCAATCACCCACTCGCAGTCACACACGCCA